CAAATTTCAACAATTTTTACAAGTTTCCATTAAATATAAATGAATATAATTACTATTTAAACAATATTGTTGTCAATGACGATGAAATGAAAAAGATATTTATTCAAACTATCAAACACTCTCAGTCAAAAACATCTGTTGAACAACGAAAAATAAGGATTTCAGCTTCAAAAGCTCATCAAGTTATTAATACAAGAATGTCTTACCAAAAGGTTGCTAATATATTGATGTCAAATTCTGTACTTAAAGGTAAAGCATCAATAAATGTGTGTTATGGTTTAATGACTGAAAAAACTGCAGTGGAATCTTACTTAAAACCATACTGAATGTGATTATATTGAGTGTGGTTTAGTTATTCATGGCTTTGTGCTTCTCCAGATGGGTTAATTATAAAGAATGGTAAAGTTGATGGAGTCTTGGAAATTAAATGTCCTATTTCATGCACAAATACACCTATAGAGACTGATGGAAAATTAAATTTGAGTTATCTGAAATATGACAGTTATGGTAAAGTAACATTAAAACCAACACATACATATTACACACAATGTCAATTTTTAATGTTTTGTACAGGTTTAACAAAGTGTGACTTATTTATTTTTAATTATGTTAAACCACTTCTTATTACTGTTGAAAGAAATAATTTTATAAGCTTGGCAGTATCAAAAATTGAGCAGTTTTATTTTCCCACTTATTTGACAGAACTCTCATTAAAAAAATAATATGTACATACTTAATAATTACTTATACATGTAATATTTATATTTCTTAAATTATAATTAAACCTAAACTGAATTATTTATGTCCTGTTTGATAGGTATTATGACAATTCACTAAACAACACATTTTTTTGCATTTTATTTTTTTATTATTATTCATTATGAATTTATGATTTAAAAAAATTAAAATAATAAAATGTAGAATAATAAAATTACTAGTAAGCAATGAAAACTAACAAGTACAAATTACTTTTAGTTACATAATACGTATCAAAATATTTAGAAAATACTAAATAGCAATGATAATATCATATATAGGGGCCGGAATTATATTCTTTTGCATATTTTTTTTGAGTCTATGCAGTCAGACGGTGGTTCGAAATCTTTACAAATCATAAAACATGTGAGTTAATGGCAAAAGTTTTTTTTGCATATTTGGGAATATTTCAAGATAAAAGAATATTTCTTGTAATAAAGAATATTAGAGAATATATCGATTAATTTTTGTAGATGTTCGATATTTTTTGTTGCAGTGGAGTAAATAATATAAATTAGCACAATATATAAAAACATTTTAACCGACCGTTGTACAAATATGACAACAAATAGTTGTCAACTGTTTTCAAAAATTTTTGTATTTGAAAATTTAAAATAATTGAATATTAAATAATATTATTATTAATAATTTTATCAAACTTTTCTTAACATGTAGTATTTTTTATTATGTAGGTACGTATTAATATCAGGTTTTTGTATTACTTTGCATATTACGTATTTATTTATATCTGTTTGTATTATTTGCTTAATTATTTTGCATATAAATGCATATTTTTAGTTCAATAGAATAGGTATGAATTAATAAACACAATATAAATAATAGTTATTAATGATATTTTAATAAAAAAGCATCTTTTTGCATATTTTATTATGGGTTTTAAAGAATATTGGAAGAATATTTTCAACTTTTTAAGAGAATATTAGCATCTTATTTTGACTATTTTAAAAGAATATAATTCCGGCCCCTAATCATATATAATCATATGTAATATATTATGTATATTTTAATCAAAAATTATTTTCAAGTAGGTAGTTTACTGTTTTTAATTATCATTAACATAAATATTATATTTATTTATTAGCATTCAAATAAAAAAAATCACTGTATCCCATACACGTTAAGTAATAATGCGTTTTGATGTTCCCTCCTATTAGTACAATATTTGTCCACGAAGCGCTATCGTATAGCTTGCACAGCGTCTATAGACCATATTTTTGTTAAAAAGAATAGTATGATAAATCATTTTCAAGCTGGGGTTATACAGGCTAATATAACTGATCATTTCTTAACAGTATTAGCAATACCAATAAATGTAAAATCTAAACACAATAATAATAATAATAAAAATACAATTGAAATAATTAATCATGAAAAGGTGAATACTAAATTGAAATATGAACAATGGGAAGATGTATAAAGTAATAATGACATAAATATAAGTTGTATTATATTTCATGATAAAATGAATTATGCTATCAGCTTGGCAACCACGACCAAGAATGTAGGCTCTAGATATAAACGTATTAAAGAATAGATGAAAGCCGGTTTATTATGCTCAGAACGTGAAAAACAACATCTCTCAATGAAAATTAAAAAACACCCTAACAATACATCTTTAATGTTATAATATACTAAGTATAAAAATACTTTTACTAAAATATTGACTCACAAAAATACATTTTTATCAAAATAAAATTAATAGTGTTGCATCTAATCCAAAATTAACTTGGCAATTAATAAACGAAATCACAAATAAAAATGTAGATAAGTCTAAAGAAATCAATTTAATACTAATAAATAAACAAATGTTAAATGCCACAGTCGAACCGCAAAAGATCTCAAATATTTTCAACTTTTTTCATCAAAATGAAAAAATAACAGAAACAGATATCTTGCAAACTTTAAAAACTCTGAAAGATGATACAGCTGCCGGATTTGATAAAATAACTGTAAAATTATTAAAAACCACTATTTAAAGGAGGAAATCGAACCGAAATAAATAACTATAGACCAATATCGATGATTTCTAATTTTGCCAAACTGTTAGAAAAAATCATTAAAAACAGATAAATGAAATACCTTGAATCTAACAACTTACTCTCGAATAATCAATTTGGTTTTAGACCAGGTCTAAGTACAGAGGATGCATTATATAATGTAACTAAGTTTATAAGTAATTCTCTAGACAATGGTGAAAAAACCTTAGCAATCTTTTTAGACTTAAAAAAAACATTTGATACAGTTAATCATATTGAATTAATAAAAATTCTTCCAACTTTTGGAATAACAAACAAAAGTCTACTTTGGTTTACTAGGTTACCTAGAAAATAGATTACAACTAGTTAACATAAATGGTATAGGTACTAGGTGAAAAAAAAAGTGTTTTCTGTGGTGTACCACAGGGAAGTGTGCTTGGACCAATCCTCTTTGTATTATATGTTAATAATGTTTGCAATACTAAAATAGATGGCCAGGTGATCACATATGCAGACGATACATGTTTGCTCTTTTCAGACTCGACATGGAAATCTGCTCACGACAAAGCAACAAATGGGCTAAATAATGTTGTGCGAAGTCTAACAAATAGGAAATTGCCATTGAATACTAATAAGACCTTTTATATGACGTTCACTATAAATAGTACTCAAATCCCTCTAAGTGACTTAAAAAGTCACTTTTGTGATAATACTGAAAAGTGTATTAACAATAATTGTGTAAAAAAATTCAAAGAATTCAAAATATCAGATATTTAGGTATAACTACTGATAAACATCTAAGATGGGATCTGCACATTAATTATTTACGTAAACGCTTGCGTATTTCATTACATCATTTTTATAAACTCCATTCAGTTTTACCTAAGCACCTCATCAGAATAGTATACATATCATTTTAACAAGCAGTTCTCCAATATGGTATAAAGATTTGGGGTGGTGCAACATTTACTGCTAATGTAATCAAACCGCTACAGATTCAGCAAAATAAAATAATAAGAGTATGTCTGATTAAAAAAGATTTAGTAGGGTCAACTGTACATAACTATAAAGAGCTAAACGTTTTGCCTTTTAAATTAATTTACCAAAAATTTGCAATATTATGGGTAATTAAATATATAAACACTCGGTTTCATATAAAAAATTTAGAAGATACAGAGAATAAACAGAGCATATAATTCTCCTGTAGCTTACACAAATACTTCATATGGTCAAAGATTTCTGGACTATCTTCAACTCCATGAAGAATGAATTAAAAAATATGATTTGTGTAACACCTAAGTGTGCGAAAAAATTGAAATCTGATTGCTTATTTACAAACATGGAAAAACTTTAATACATGTACTAGGGTTACTAATTATTATACTACCTATCTAAAAATAAGATGATAAATGTAATTGTTAAATGTCTTATTATGATGATTTTTATACCTATTTGTGATGTTTTACCTATCTTTATTTGTATTTGTTTCTGATAATTATTTATTTCTTTTTTAATGTTATATTTATTTTTATATGATATTATGTAATTAATTTCCCCGATTTATAACTCTCTTTCTCCAACACAAGCGTAAGCTTAAAGGAGATGGATAAATCAATCTAATGTTTTTATTTAATATGTATCTTGTTAAATAAATTATTTTTTTTCTGATAAAAAAAAAACATAAATATTTAGGTATATTAATTTCAAAACTTGATAAATCATAAAAACGCCGGTAGAGTATTTATTAATTTTAGGGCCGTTCTTACAATGTCCGGTTAAAGTTAACCGGCCGAATTCTGCCGGTAATAAAATCTGTTATCAGTCGGTTAGCGTTAACTGACACTTTACAGGACATTGTAAGAACGGCCCTAAGTGTGCCTACATTTGTTAATTATTTGAAACTATGATAATGTTAATAATTTTTGGGCTAATTCGGTAGGCTTGTATGAAAATCTACTATAAGAAACTACGTTTCTATATTTTTGTGTTACACTATTAATTTTAATAAACAGAATTACCTATTTAATCACTATTGAATATCAAATATTACTTACTTCACACGGACGAGCAGACTCTGTAGGTTGCCATTGAGCTCTTCTGGTATTATTTATCCAAATTTTTATGCGTTCAAGTTGTGCCGGAAATCCGAATGGACGTACACCCCGACTACTTCGATTCGCGCAGTTTACGGCAGAACACGACATTTTAATATAATATTGAGAAGACCTGAAAACGTAGAGAAATAAATTACATACAATTAAACGCGTCCGATGACAAAAGAAATAATTTGTCATAACCACAGATATTATAACGCGTACCTAATAGGTTACTATCAGAGATAAGTATATAAAATAGATAAGCCACTCCTTTGTTAAATTGTTGGACCGTCATTACTGCTCCAATTAATGCATTTTCATCAAGAGCTTTATCACTACATAGTTGTTGTAAGCAAGTGTCACAGTTTTTAAAAACACATTTGTTAAGTTTTCTGATTATATATCCAGCAATGTAGGTACGCGTCAAATCTCTTAAATCTTTAGTAGTATTAGTCGATTCAGCTACTTGTTTTTCTGGGAAGTTAAATGATGTGAAAGTTGGTTTAGGATGTTCTTGTTGAAATGAAAATACATTTTTATAACTCATCAGACTGTCTTCGTTGAAATCTTCGCAGTTTGCTCCTGGAGAATGTGAGGACACCAAATTGTAGAGAAGTAAAGTTTTATATGATGAAATAAATAGACTGCAAGTCGGTTTTGAACACCCAACACTTTTTGCAGCACCAAAGAAACATTCCAACGAATCTTGGTTCAGATGCCTGGGGAGTAACGATTTTATTCCTTTCTTCGAAAGAATTTTCGACAATGTTTGAAAACCTAAAAAATAGATATTAATAATTACATTACGAATCATTTTAAACTTCACATGTTTTTAAATTAATTTACCTCTTATTATTGTTGACCAATTTTTAAGTGTTGGTACTCTAACTGCTTTTCCATTCTTTCCAATAAATTGCATCTTTGATAATATTTTCAAACTATCTTGCCAAAGTTTATGATGAACGGAATTTTGTTTCACAGATGTTCTATATATCTTGCCGTCCACTGGTTTATCAAATGAGCCATTTAAGGAATCGAACAGCTTATCAAAAAATAAAAAGGCAGCTGCCGTGTCAGATGCTTGTGGATCAATGATAGTTTTAGCTAGAAATAAAAATGTAATTAATTTCTCATATTTGAATAATAGTTAAGATAGAATCTTACAAGCAAGAAAGTTCATAACTGCAGATACCCGTTGACTGAACACTTGTGTGGCAAACCGTACCTTCATTTTTGGTACCTTTTCCGGTATAACATGGTTCTATAAATCTTTTGTCATAAGATTATTTCTTGTACATTTTAAAAGATGGGGTACATCAAACAAATGTACAATAGGAATGCGTTCTACACCATCATCAGATCATCTGTTTTATTAATTATCTGTTAAAAAAATACAAAACCAATTAAATATTCTAATTCTTAACAAGTAGAAGAATGTTTTTGATAAAAAATACAAACCTAAATTGTAAACTTCAGAGCCAGATACATTAAGATCAGCAACTTTGTTAATTTTGACATTTGATGTACCAACATTTCCTGGTACTGGTAATAACTGTTTCCCTGTATTTTATAAAACAAATTAACATATCTGGTGTAAAGTCTACTAGGTACCTATCTACTAAAGGTTATACCTGGTAGATTCAACGTTGGATAGGCATTAGCATTGAGGCGTTTTGTGCCCGGACTCGAACAACTGTCCTCGAAATGATTACCACAAATTACCTTTTTTTGATAAACAGACAATACAACACTTTTATCCAAACCAACGATATCAATCCATTTCAAAAGTCTTTCCATGTAACTATTTGGATTTGGAAAACGATGGCATACCATACCTAATGAAATAAAATTGTGAGACAAAAATATTCATACCTATATGGTGTGTGTAAATGGCACGAGCGCATTTTTGTTTACCAAGTCATGAACAAACAAATTATATATTGGTATATTACCTTTGGATTTACAGCCAATAATGACACATCTTGAAATATTTATATAACACTGAGGTTCTGACGTCGACATGGTTAATAAGTAGAACACGTACAAATATGAACACAATCGGACGAATAAACTATTCAATAAACAACGTTAAACTGATAAAACGGTAATACAGTATACACATTAAACGTTATTACACTCGTTACGTGTTTGAAATAACGATTTACGGGCTTGCGGCAAGCATCATAAACAAGTATAATCGTAGAGTGTGGACAAGTATAAATATTAAATAATAATAATAGTGTATAATATAATAAATTATAATATAAACTCGGCAGTAATCACTAGTAGGTACTAGGTAGATACAGCGAGAAGAGACTGCGGGAGCCGGGAGGCGGGAAGGGGAAGCAGTCAACAGACGGCAGTTGGAAAAATAATTTTTAAGTGTTACGCATGCGCATTGCGCAGTAAGACTGTGTAACACCGCTCCCGGTGTTTGTATCAGCTGCAGTGGCGTCCGCACTCCGCAGGATTTTTCAATGGGAGGGGCTTGAAAATTAGTTACAATTTTCTTTTCATTTTGTCCAGTCTAATAATTTCAGACGTTTATTTGAGGTATTTTAAAATGTTTGTAACTTTTCAACTTTTCTGGTAGAAAAAATGCTCTGATCATATAAGCTCCGATATGCTCAGTGTATGTTTTTGGAAGCAAATTGGATCTAGTTGGTACTATTAGGAGGTTGAAATTGAAAATGCTCAGTGCTTTTAAAAATAATTTGAGAAAAAAAAATGAAAATTTATTTAAATGTTTGGTTATACCGTCTTCACATGGATTGTATTTGAATAATTAAATTTTTGTTTTCTATAAATGTCAATAAAATATTATTTATCCGGTCAAAAAGCTTAAAAATGTAATACCTACGTAAGTTTTTTTATTATAGCTAAAATATTAACGATAGGTAGGTACATAGGTATCATGCTTATTTTTTATGAGCATTTAAAGTTCAAATTTCGTCAAAACCACAGTTATAATTTGTTGCTCAAAACTTATAAAATATTAAATGTGTATAACTAAGGCTAGACAATTTAATACAAGGTATTTCATACAAATAGTTCATACTTTTACCGAAAAATTACAGATAATTTATGAAAATTGGTATGCAAATACAATGTTCTTTCAAAAATGAATTCATTCTGGCAAGACATATATGAAATTTACTTCTTGCTTACTATAGTTGAGAGTTTAACTTGATTAATATTTTTTTGAAAAAGTAATAATAATACTGTTACATGCGGCCCTTCAGGGATCCAAAAGCTGGTGTACTTGATAAATAATAATAGTCAATTAGAATGGTATTCAAATGTATTATATTAAACCAGACAAAACAAGCAGAATAATAGTGTTGATTGTAGCGAATTGTAGTTCGTTCCGAAGTTGATAATCTCCGTGTAAGTCGTGTGTGATGGCTGGGCGGCTAAGCGAGTCGTGTGGTGTTCTCGTCTGTGTTCTCGTGTGTTATTCGTAGTCGAAAACACTTTTGGGTGTGGTCGCATTCCTGGTTGTTATTATGAGCAAATATATGATATTGCGTAATCCCATTACAATACGGGTAATGGGGGGGGGCTTTAGCCCCCCCCCTGCGGACGCCACTGATCAGCTGAATGGTACGATTGGCCTAAAAAATAACCACGGAAAAAATAACCCTATAATAAAAATGATTTGGAACTTGTAAGTATATTGAATCATATTGAATCCAAAATTAATATTGTACGTAGGTAATAGCCAATAGGTATGTTATACATTTTGTACTCATTTGAGATTAATTTGCAAAATCTCATATTATTATGGCCTATGGGGTTATTTTTTCGCGGTACCGAATGGTACATATCGGGGTATAGGAGTCGCACCAGACTGGTACCTATATATTATGTTGTTCTGTGATTTTGGAGGTATTTTACTGTTAACTAGAATATATTTTTATTGCAAACAAAATGGCGAATGCGCTTATTACTCACATTATATAGCCTTAACTGCAGCGGTGGCGGTAGTGGTTATAAGTTACGCTAAAATAACCTATGACAAAAGTTAATGAGTAGACAATTTTACATAATATAACGTTAAGTTATTTTAACAATTTTAATTATCGTAAGTAATAGGGTTTTTCATATCAGTAGTGACGATATAATTGAACAATTTGTTGACAATTACAAAATATAAGATTATACATAGACATAGGCACGATTTTTTTTTCTAAGTATTTAAAGTTTGAAATTTGGTAACATTTATCAAAATCTCGAAAATTGTCAATCATTGTAATTAAAAAAATTATTAAATGTTCAGTTCTTATAACTAAGGGTTGAAAATTCAAAACAAAGATTCTTATAAAAAATAGTTCATACTGTAACCAAAAAATTTAAAAATATATAAAAACATGTCTATGGAATTAATCAAGAGCGTGTAAGAAATGATTAGGTACATACTATTAAAAAGTGTTATCAAAGATTTAGATCTCAATTTACTGACAAAATTACCAGCTAAATTACATGATGACTATGAAGAACATATAAGCGATTCAAATGAAAGCAATGGAGAAGATGAAGAAGAACAGCAAAACTTAAATAATTTTGGAAGCTTAGGAAATATTTTTGAAATAATTAATACCGTGAATATTAAATCAGAATTTGAGCATTTGTACACAATAATTAAAATAAGTTTAACATTGCCTACATCTAGTTGTACGGTTGAACGAAGTTTTTCCAAATTAAAAATCATCAAATCCAGACTGCGTTCCACTATGGATCAAAACAGACTAGAGAATTTAATGATTATTTCTTGTGAACAGGATAAAACATAGATGTGTCAAAGGTAAATATGATGTATTTGTCCTTACTCAATTATTAAGTATAACAATATTTTTTTTTTTTTTTATTGATCGAAAGACATCGGCGACAACGGCCATTAGTCATAAACGTTACATTAATTACATTTTTTTTTTTTTGGTATCTTACATATAATAATTTTAAATTAAGTCATACAATTTATATTTTCTTAAAAAAGACAAGATTTGGAGTGAGGAGTCTGCATTTGGACCGAGGGGATGCGTCTAAGGTGGTTGAGATGTTCAGCTGTTCGAGTGCCTCTGTGTATTGTCGGCATTCTGTGAGGATATGATGGACTGTTAGTTCGGTGCCACATGCTGTGCAGATAGGTTTTTCGTCTTTTGACATGAGATAACCGTGGGTTAGTCGAGTATGCCCGATGCGAAGTCTGTTAATGATTATTCTTTCTCTTCGTTTCGTGAGGAAATTGGGCCAACTGAATATGGTGTTTTTGATTTTTCTCAATTTAGTGGTTTGTCCGAGCCAGTGTGTTTGCCATTTGATTTTAGTAAGTTCTTTAATCTGTTTTTTTATGTCTGCGAATGTAGTAATATTTAATATGGGTATATCAGTGTGCTCTGCTGCTTTCTTGGCTTCTTGGTCTGCCTTTTCATTGCCCTCTATGTCGCTGTGCCCCGGGATCCATACTAGTGAAATTTTGATTCCTGTCTGATATGCTAGGCTAGTTTTTTGAAGTATATAACAATATTTATAACATTATTAATAAATTATAATACCTATGACCTAATATCTATATTATTTTGTTTATTTTAGGTAACAGATACATTTGCGAGAAAGACACCAGTATTAACTAAGTTATTAACATTTTAATGTTAATATCTGTAATTGTGTATCACAATGATTCTTGCCTCTTGGCATAAAATTTTTTTGTCATGAAATTTTGTAATTTTATTTTTAATTGAATAATTTCAAAGTATATAAGAATATATTATTGGTGTTTGTGTTTTGGTGTTTATTACCTAATTATAAGATAAAATATTCTTGTTAGGCATGTTTAAAATTTGTTTTGTTAATATTATACAGTATGTAGTGGTGGTGGTGTGTATGTAAACAGTAAACACGGATGAATAGTTTATAATATATGTGTATTGTATAATGTGTATGGTAAAATAAAAGAGGCCATAGGGCTTTTCAGAAACAAACACAAAATCGCCTCTAATCCGTCTTAGTTGGTGATGAGTACAAAAAAAAAGTGTAATATAAATTTTCTCTCAAAACTGAGCATTAATATTTTTTGGGTAAAAACCAATACCCCCTCCCCCCTTCAGGTATGCCACTGGGGCCGATAGTTAAATATGGGGCCGTTTCAATTTTTTTTTGCCCGACTACATTTTTAGTACTTCGGCGCCACTGAATTAGACGTTAGTATAATATGGAGCAATCAAAAATTTATAAATAGAAAAATATTACATGTCATACAATAAAGTGATTTCACGAAGATTAGGTTTAGGTATGATAATATTACTTAAGTATAATTTTGATGCAAAAAGGTTCAGGACATGTGCCTTTTCTGCATTTAGCAATTCATATACTCGCGGTGGCGGTGGCGGTGTAACCGTGAAACCTTTTTTTCCTCACTTGCAAATATATATATAAAATAAATATATATAAAATAAATATAACAATATAAATATAACGCGCGGTTGCAATACGTGACCAAGCAAATACATTATATAATATATATATACTCGCCGTTGCGAGGTGGCGGTGTCGCGAGATCATACTTTTTTCCTCACTCGCAAATGCTTTCTTATACGGGGTGCCCAACGTGCCTAAAGAAGTTTTCACTTCAAAAATATCTTAATGAGACGGATACGTGAATATTAAAAATCTCACAAAAATGTATAATGTCAACAGTCTACATAACCGATAAAAATATACGTTTTTTTTTTTGTATTCTACTTCAATCTAAATAATTGATGCACAAATTTGTATAACAAAATCATATTTTCACTGAAAATATTATATACAATCTTCATATTAAAAATTACCAGATTTTCAAATAAAAATCATACTAGATGTATCTATATTATCTATTTTCATACTAAATTCATTTACAAATGTTGTATAATTTCAATAAAAACACATGTGCCTAATTATTATCATTATCATTGCCATCATAAAACTTTATACATAATATATTCGCTATTTACAGTTTCCTATGTTATTTTAACAAATAGCTAACAAAATTCGAAATATTAACAAAAAGAAACATTTCACCAACAAAATCAGTCTAATGTATGCAGTTACATTTTTTTTTCGTCATTCAGGTTCTTCGACAGACTATATTCAATATTAACATGTATGATGAATTTATACGTTATTTGTTTAACTCGAGATACCTACATTTAAGATCATGCAATACATAATTATGATTCATACGGTTCGAAATTCAGAAATCACAACCACTAGCATACATAATATGTAACTATATTTTACCCTGCTCACCACTCCACAGTCCACAATAACCAAAAACACTCGCATACGTGCACGACCATATTTCTCCCTCCACCCCTACACTAAGTTAGTTTCGTGTAGGTTAGGTGAGGTTAGTTTCCTGTAGGTTAGACTGAAAAATAAAATAATGAATAGAGGTATATATATACCTACTTATATTTATATCATGCACATGAGATCTTCCAGCAAATAATTATTACCAAGAAAATTTTTAACACCATCATCTCTGATTTACTTTAAACAATATTTTTAGTCCAATATAACTAATATAAGTTGGAGGTGCTAAGCATCCCCTGGCACACAGTGGAATGAAACACAAATTTAGAGTGCCAAAAGTACTATTTTTAAACTAAAAATGTATTGGTTTTTTTTTATCAATAATTTATCGTTACAATATTCTGATGCTTAAAGCAGAATTTCAAAAGAATTAATCAACATACACCCGATTTACAGCTGTTAGTATAAAATATATACATTATTTGATTGATATTTTCAAATTTGTATACGTTTTTATATTATTTAATTTGCACACTTCAACGATAAAAATAGAATTTTATTTTACGCAGTTATTACATTCTATACCTACATGTAACAACGACATATTATTTTTTTATTTTTATTTATTTTTTTTTTTTTGTAATTGCTTTATTATGTTGACATTTTAAGTTTTGAGGAGTAATACTGAAATTTACCCAACATTACCAACTATTAAATACATACATATCAACCCATTGTCAGCATAATGTTTATGCTTGCTAGGCGATTGTTTTGTTTGTACAGGGTGTTTCAGCATGCTCACTCCTCACCAATATTTTATCCATTACCATAATGAATTTATTCAAATAAACTGATTTTTCGAATTTTATTAAGTACCTATACCTAGGTAGACTTGAACGACATTTATTATATTATTTGCATACATTTAAATAAAAATTTAAATACATATAGTTTCCAAAAATAAACTTAATATTAGTTTTACGTCAAATATAAAATATATATATATAGGAGCACATTGTTAAGTTCCGACCACCTTGCTGAATCTACAAACGTCAAACATAGAACCAAAGAATGATGTCTTCTAAGTTCTAACAACCTACTTGAATTCGTATCGTGAAAACAAAAACACATCGATCACAAAATATATAACACGATAATATATTAATATGATAGATACACATTGTATTACTTCATTTAATATCACTTATTATTTTTAGACTCTTCTAATTATTATTATTATTATTATTATTAATGTGCCCCAATTGTATGAAATACTTTATGCCTTATGTTAAATCCATCCTGTAGCCATAGATTTCGCAGATAGTTTATAATATAAAAACAATAATTATCATAATGTAATATTCAGTCTAGTTCTTATTATACTTTTTACAAACATAAAATACTTTAGTAGTTATATAGTATAAAAAGTAGAATTATGAAAATTATTACTTTAATTATCTAATCATCGTAGAATATACGTTTTTAATCCCATATGACCGTGAGCAATATAATTCTCTTAACCATAAAATATAGACACTATAAGCTTCATAAAAGAAATATAAATTGAAAACTTATTGTAAACGATTAATATATATGTAAAAACAAAAAAATATTGCAATAACTAATATTAGGTAAAAAATAATTTCAAATATCAGCCAAAGGCCATAGCTGCCGAGGTTTATTTCTAATAAAAAAAAAAATAATAAACAATTAATATAATATTCTCGGTTTAATATGAAGTTAATAATATTCAGAAACTTTAAAAGTCCGAATTTATTTGTACACTTATTGCATAAATCTGTGCAATCTCACATATTGTATAATCCGCTAAACAATTTACAGTAAAAGAAGAGATCATCTCATTTGAATGCATAATAAGTGTTCGAAAATATGGTCCCCGAGAATACTCAAAAGTGCCAAAAACCAAAACTCGTATAAATTGATTGTTTAAGGTGAAAAGCGGCAGGGGGGGTGAGTTAACTCGATGGATCTGCACCCTGTATGATGGTATTGTGTATAAAATATATACGTACAAATGTACAATATAGTATTCAATTTGCCGTCATCGAAGTGCGTGTGCTTTGATACTTGTAATGATATCTAGTATTGTAATGATATCTAATATTGCACCAACACAGTTTCATGACTCAATATCATCATAACACTATTAAATATTTTACTACCAAAAATCCACAATAATAATATGTACCCATGTACCCATTATATAGGGTTGCCATTCGTCCCGATTTCGCCGGGACACTACCGGTTTTTACTACAGAGTCCCGATATTTTTCATTTCCCGGCCGGGACGTGGATAAGTACCGGTTTCTTTAAAATTAGTCCCGAATTGTTCACGTGTGAATAACAAACAATAAATAATTGTCGGAAATTTTCGAGATAGCCGAGGACCTATAATTTTACCGATAAAGTTTCATAGCGACATACCGTATACAATTTATAGAAATAACGATTAGTCGTATATTATAGTCATATATTAGTCTCCACTCTTCAGTCATACGTATTTAGTAGGTATTAAATTACTTTGCTGTGTTCTGTGTTGTAGTTACTAATTTTTATTTTTATGCTATTCTACGTATTATTATTTAATTTTAATATTACTTTAAACGAGGAAGAACTGTATGAAAAATTTAAAATGTTTGAACAATTTTTAAGAAATAAAACCGACGAATGGCAATGCAAAACATCTGAAGAAAAATGGCTGGCAATTTTTAAATCATTTAAAGAGAATAATATTGATTATTCTATGTTATTAAAAATTGTAGAATTTGCATTTGCATTGCCTGGATCTAACGCTGCAGTGGAGAGAATATTTTCATTGATGAACAGTTGTTGGACAAAGTCACGAGGTAATTTATACATCAATACAGTAGAAGCTACTTTAGTCATTAAGACTAATTTGGAAAATAAACCATGCCAACAATTTTATGAAGACATTTCGAAAAATAATGATTTGCTCATTCGAGTTCATAAAACTGCAAAATATTCAACAACAAATCAAAAATCAGAAACGGAAGCTTCTGGATCTCAAACATGTAAAAATTCGAAAAATGAAGTTAGATGAAATCGATGATGAATAATGATGCATATTTAAACAATACACATATTAGTAAATAAGTAAGATCACTCTGTTTTAAATTAAAAATTGTGTACCTAATTAATTTTTTTAGATAATTTAAAATTATATTTATGAATAAGATAATAATAATACTATTATTACATTTTGTGCTATTTCTAATTTTTGACTTTTTTATTTATTATAAATTATAATATAATAAAAATATTAAATAACGTTGGACTAAAAAAAGTATTATTAAAAATTCCAAAGAATGTGTTGTGGGGGGGGGGGGTATTATAGTGTCCCGGCTTGTATTTTTGTGTAAATGGCCACCCTACCATTATATTACCCAAAATTATACATAACAACAACAGTTATACTCATTATGAAATCAAATGACTATACAATATCTAATAAACACTATCAAAACATAATAAATATATGTAACCATGTACCCGGATATTATTCAAAATGTACTAAAAACTATTAATAAGTAATAACCATATATATATATGGGGAATGGTAAACTCCTACAAATGTAGTGTTATCTCCTACAAAAGATAGTGTTAACTCCTACAAAAGATAGTGTTAACTCCTACAAAAGATAGTGTTAACTCCTATAAAAGATAGTGTTAACTCCTACAAAAAATTAATACCGCTCGTATTGCTGTAAAAAATATCAGTCTTGCAATATATTAACACATAAAATAAAAATGGTTTGAAAAATATAATAAAAATGTTAATAAAACAATAATCATTATCATTTACGTTTAAAACAAAATTTTTAAAATATAGATAATAAAAATGTTGATAAAATAATAGTCATAATCATTTTTAATCCTAAAACAAAAATTATTTGAAAAATATAATAAAACAATTGTCAAAATCACATACGTTAAAAAAAAAATTTTTGAAAAAAAATAATAAAAAATTCAATAAAACAATACTAATTCATAATCATTTACGTATATTTTTATGACTTGTTTTATCGTTATTCAACAATATTCGATGCCATATCGCTGATCTATTTAAAAATTTTTGTACTGCAAGTGCCGATATGAACGTATAGTATAGTACTATAATAGTATATAATATGGATATAATCTAACCTTCGAGAATTATCATACAGCGTATAAACAAGCTCTATTCAAGCATTTGTTTATTAAATAATGCATATTTATTATTTTCAAGTTATGATAATTTTGAGCTTTTTAACTTTAAAACTGTGAATTTAAGTAATATTACATTATTTTTTAAAGGGAAAAATTTCTAAGTAGGAGATTACAATATCTTTGATTTTCAGGTAAAAATTTTAAAAGGTTATTAGTGTAGGAGTTTACATTTAATGATGATTCAGGTAAAAAGGTTATTCGTGTAGGAGTTTACATTTGGCCATATATATATATATATACATATGTACAAATGTCACTAATCTTACAAAAACATATTTTGATTATACCCATGTACTTATGCAAAATAAACAATAACAATTTAATATGGAACAACAAGGTATCATAATTCATAGGTCAATACTATAAGTAGAACCCCCTTTTTGATATTCAAATCAGTCTGTTCCCATCAGCTGAGTCGGATCTCAGCAGCACAGTATCACACGCACCGTCTTATTTCATTACTCAAAATCTTAAAGCGAATATTAACTTAAAACGTTATTATTTCTAAATCTTATAAATATCTTGTTGTGAACTATTAAATATAACTTCTATTTTCAAACCAAAATTGTACTTACGTTATTCTTACAAACTAACATCGTCAATACTCAACTTCCAAATTCTATCATCGTTCAAATCAAGCAACATCAACCAGGTAAGAAATTATAATAATACTTACCATATAACTTCAATAAAGAAATCATCATCAACAACAAATTAATAAAGACACGCAGACTCCGGTGCATCACAAATTCATAAATCATTACATATCATTTTATCCTTTGTTTATAAATCTATACTCACGATCCCAATCAATCGTAATAATTATATGCTTTAATTGGTAATAAAAGATAGGACATAAGAAATAGCTACCCTAAATCCCTTTAATTATTATTCATTTAAAATAGCTAACTACATCATCTCAGTTAATATATTATTATAAGGTGAAGTTTTATCAATAGCAACGGCCATGCTTATTTTTAAATCATCACATACTGTAGCGGAATTAATGTTCGGTTAATCGAATGAATTGATAATCGATGTACCACCCACCCACCTACTACCTTATATATATATATATTTATATATATATATATATATAAATAATAAATTTATTTCCGTTTAATTCCGTCGTCTGACAGAAATGAAAACGCTATTAGCGCGCCAAACCTATAATATTATATCGGGTCAGCGCGTTCTCGTTTTGTATGATTAACGAACCGTATTCGGATCGTGATTCGTACATTATATTATTATTATGCGTATAATAATAATAATAATATAATATTGTTTCTAGATTCGATGTTATTAAAATTTCAGCAAATATGGTTTTCCGTATTTATTTTTCTTCGACCCCTCGTCGGAATTATATACATCGTCGTCAGCGAAACGAGGTAAAAAAAAACTTACCGATCCCGTGCCATTTCACCCATTTGCAAAGCCGCCCGCAGGGGGGGGGAGGGCCGCGGCCCCCCCCCCCGCTAATTTAGATAATACCTAATTTTTATTGCATTTATTTGCATTTTATATAGCAGCTTGGAGGGCAATAAGGAGATAAAATGTTCAATATTACTATAGGTATTCGGTAATTGGTTTATTTTTAATTACTTCATTAAACGATAGATTTGCAGAAGATTTTGAATAATTTGAACTTTTCTCAATCCATTGAGAATGACATTTTTGTTTTTGCTTTATATTATAGCTCACTTAAAAAATTGAAAACGTGGCTTCGCAGTAGTATGACACAACTCCGCTTGAATGGCTTAGCACTTATATGTACATTCATAGTGATATTTTAAAAAGTCTACAATCTGACATTGTTGAAGATACTATTAAGCTTTTCTGCATGGAACCACGGCGTGTTCAATTTGTACTTGACGATAATGATCAATGAGTCATGAATTATCTATTTTTAATTATTTTTTTTCATTTTTTATTATACAGGCTTATTTATAACATCAACATAATATTATACATTTATATATATATATATATACTATATTATAATAAATAAATAATTTCTTTTTACGATGTGATGTAAAAAACAGAATTTATGGTAAGTGTATTTTTTTTTCGCTGGCCCCACCCCGAGAAAAATTTCTGCGGGTGGCCTTGCCCATTTGTGCAAATCAAGACGATACGAGCTTACCTACCTACCTACCTGCCTGCCTGTATATTATCGTGTAATAAGCTTGGTTGCTCGGTACCTACTATCTTAGTACTGACAGTAGATAAGTGGCTACCAAGTTATTATAGATGCAGGTCGCAGACACTTTTTTTATGATGTTGTAGTCGTGGATGATAATAATAATAAGACAGTTGTTGAAGTATGATATAATATTGTGAGATTTTTATTAAAACGTTCGATAATTTTCTAAGTCCAAAATAATGTTGTACAAAGTGGCGTGAAGGTGCTTGCACTAATGGGTGGTAGTACACGTCTGAAAACAGGTCGATTCGGGCTCCCTTATATATGAGGTTCCCCGTACCCCTTGCCTACATATACGATATCTCCGTTCTCACGGATGTCACTCGTATGGTCATCATTCTAGCCCACGCATTGACGATTAAATATATAACTGATTGAATGTATTACCAATTTATGATTAGTCATTTTACTCTTCAATATTTTAATTTCATCGTATGCGTCCAGTATTTCTGTCAAATATGACGACCGCCTATTTTAACCCTATCATCCTGAGTTATTCAGTGAGCCTGTCTCCATAGGTTTGAAGGACCCATTTCCTTCTTAATGCCCGACTATGCCGGTCTACCGTCTATTATAATACTTATGCACCTGTGGAATCTGGTTTTATTGTTACTGTCAAATGTTACTACGCCTAATTCTGAATCCCGATTCATCGTATATTATAATAATAACTATACGTACTTATGAAATTGGTATTACTCCGTAGTAGCTGGCTTACTACAATCGTATACGACCGGATTACGCATTATCGTGCCGTTAATTATACTGGGTGGACACAAAAATATAATATTATGGCGCGAAAAAAAAAATAATAAAAAATAACAATCGTACAACCACCGGATGAGCCATAAATCAACGACACCGAGTGAAAATATAATAACAACATTATTATTATAATGAAATTCCGTGATCCCCAGGGGCGTATTTAGACTTACTTCTAGGGGGGGGGGGGGGGCGACTTATTTAATTTTTCACTAAGTATGGACCCGAAAAAAATCCCATTTCATAGCCACGGGTATTGTACGCCGAATGCTTGAAATTATCACGCACCCTCGTTGCGATGGTTTGACACGTATAAACTTAAACGATCTAATTAAAATGTGAATATATTTTATTAGATTTTAGAAACGTTTTTAACAAAAAATTTTTATAATTAGTTTGATTAAATAACAAAATCAAGGTTCCTTTTTTTTTTTTGAAAAACGATCAATAATGTCGTTAACATCAATAATTATATCTTGATGGATATTCATTAAAGCCAAACTAGTCAACCTTTGTTGGCCCATTTGGTTTCTCAGCCATGTTTTTAACCTATACGTAACAAGCAATACAAGCATAATTCATAAGTTAAAAAGCATTGTTACGGGCAATTATCAATATAAAAGTTTGTTGCTCAAAATAGATAGGAGTATCTAATAACCTTGGATGTTACTGTGAGACTACGTGACGTAACCGTGGTACAAAACGATGTGCGCCCGCCGATGTGGTACAAGTGTCGCCACATGACCAATGATCATTAGTACTGATACTGACAAAACAATAATATATAATTATCCATCATACGCGTCCGTTCGCCTTCAATTTATTATATTTTAATATGTTTTTCTGCAATTTTTTTTAACGCTTAT